TATTGGTATATTTTAGTGAAATAAAATATTATAAAGTATATTAATTATTTATTAAAGTAATAGTGTTATATTGTATTTTAAAAAATATTAATTAGTATATTTTAAATATCTTTATTAAAATATTATTAAAATATATAAATAATATTATTCATTATTAAATATATAAATTTTTTTATTATATATTATTAAAATAAAAATATAATATCTTATATTATTATAATATAATTGATTATTTTATATAATATTAAAAATATAATATTATATTAATAAATATTAATAAATATATTTTAAATATTTTAATAATAATATTTTGATGAAAATGATATTAAAATATTTTATTAATATTAAATTCATAAAATAAAATTATTTTGATTATTTATTGTTTGAAGTGAAAAGTTCGGAAAATGACTTTCGAAAAATGAATCCGTAAGTCATTTTACAGAAAACACAAAGGAAATTCTGTTACTAGGAAAATGAATTACGTTCCGGAAAACGAATTACGTGAAACAAACACGGGAAAACATTTTCCGGAAAACGAATTACGTGAAACAAACACCAGAAAACATTTTCCGGAAAACGAATTACGTGAAACAAACAGGGGAAAACATTTTCCGGAAAACGAATTACATGAAAGAAACACGGGATTTTTGGGAAAACTAATTCCGTAATTGGTTTTTTATAAGAAAATAAATAAATTAATCACATCATTACAATATAATGAAAATAAGATATTATAAATAAAGAGTTAAAAAACTCTACCTAACAACTTGAAAAAAAATATAAGATGCAAACAAACATCAATGTCGAAAGATAAACACCATCAATAATAACATAAAATGTATGTAACTAAATTTATTATAACTCAAATGCAACCTATATGAAATGATTGTGAATACCTATAAATATGAGATAATAAGATAACCAAATTAGAGAGATATACATAAGATAATCAAATAACAACTAACTAGAGAAGTAGTATCAACTTCAATCTTAAAAAATAGGGAAAAAATGCTCTATGAACATAAGGAAAACAATGGTTTTATAAAGAAGAGAAGATTCATTAAACAAAACAACACAAAAATTTGAATATGTAAAACAATAAATTAAAAAATAAAAAATAAAGAGAATACAAAAGAAAACACAACAAAAACATATGATAAAATATGAATAACATATATTTAATCAAAAGTTAATCGTCTGATTAACATATAAAATAAATAAATTTTAATTATTTTTGAAATTTATTTTTTCTCAGTCACTTTCTTTTTTTCCCCTTGATTTTTGTTTAGCCAGTAACATTGTTAATTTTTTTTTTCAATTTTGAATAAGAATCTTTATTCTTGTGATACATTTTCTCTGTTTTTGTAGTACATATTTTCTCTGCTCTTATGACATAATCCTTATGGCTTTTTCAGTTTTTCGCATAGATTTACAATTGATTTGTTGCTCGCACAAACAATATTTTTCTGATTGGTTTGTCGGTGGTTAAGTATAGTAACATCATCTCTTTGGTAAAAAGATGTTTGCGATAAAATTGAAATTTTGTACAAAGTAGTCTGCCAGATAATTTAATTCGCTCATCACTCTTTTATCATTTTGTAAAATGTCTTGTTCGATAGAGACAATGAGATTTTATTAAAGTTATTAGATTTTTTTGATGTTAATCGTCAATATCAAGGGAATATTTTTTGTATCTTTAGGTTTAATATTGATTTTTGTATGAATTTTGTGTGTGACTATTGGCGCTAATTTCTCTTTATAATTGGATACGTTGCAATTCTATATTTTTGTTTTTATTAATGAAATTCGATTGTTATAGTTAAAATAAATAAATATAGGTAAAAAAAATCTAGGAAAAATACTAGAAAAAGATCTTAATTTGCTTCAGAACCGCTAAAATCAAAATATAATGTTATTAATAGTTAATCCTACTCAATTAATCATGGAATTAAAGTTGAGAAAACCATGAATCATGAATCCCAAACAAGAAAGCATGGGTCCCTACAATATTATGGTTTCTACCAAATGAGATTTTCCTTTAGCACCCGACTTTTTTTTTTACAAAAGAAATATTATTATTTTGTAAACACTACTTTCTCGCACAACTAAGCCATGGCATAATAGCAGTCACAAAGCCACAAAAGGGGTTATTATGCTCGGATGAAATAGGGAATGGAGGGAGTGTAAATTCGTATGAAATGATGGAGAAGCAACAATTTGAAGTGTCAAAAATAGGGAACAAGTATGATTAGGGATAGTAATTTAATTTGGTTTCGATGACTTCCGACTCCATTTGATTTGATTAAAATGATTTTTTTTAAATTTTAAGTTCGGGTCGAGTCAAGTTAGGTTCAGTGTATAAAATTTTTGGGTTTAGATGAGAGTTGAGTTTAGAGTTAGAAATCTTCAATCCGACCCAATTCGGATATTTTTAATTATATTATATAGTTTGAATTATTTATTAAAATGTCACCTTATTTATATATATATATATATGATATTTTAGGGGGTTTACCATTACATTTTTTCTTTTTTTTTGGAAACTTTCAATCTTTCTCTTAATTTGTTTTCTTTTCCTTTCCTCAAATCTTATCTCCTCGTATTCAAATATTTGAATGTTAATAATTTTTAACTTTATTTTTTATTTATTTATCCAGATGATCAAATATTACATTGTTAAGAAGTTTTTTTCTCTTTTTTTTATTCAAAGAAAAATATAAACTTTCAGACTTATTATAACTAAAGGTTTGGTTTTTTTTAGTTCTTTTGATTTTTTCTTTTATTTTAAATTTTTTATCTATATTTCTATTTTCTTTTACTTTGAGTATATGTTGTGAAAAAGTTGATTAAGTTTTATTGAAATTATTTTATGTTATGAAAATTTATTTTAATATTTTTTATATATGAAGAGAAAATTGAAGACATTATGGTAGATTTTTAGCTAAATTGAAAATTTAAAATCTTTGATTTTTAGGGATTTAATGTAGATTTGTAATTTTTGATAAACTGGTAGTAAAAAAATCATAGAACGCTGATGTTAACGATTTTTTTAATTAGTTTATTTTATTTTTAAAAATATATATCAGGTTAAAGTCGAATTTATGTTTTATTTTTAGAGTCAGAATCGAATCAGATTAAATAATATAACAATTAGAATCGAATTACGATTTTACTTTGTAAGATCAAAATGGGAGCAGATAAAACTTCAATCTGCTTTATTATCGTTCCTAATGTATGACGGCGACTTAAAAATGGAGGGGAATAGGACTAAATTGAAGGGTGGGCTATGATGAAAGTTTTGAGTTATGATACCATGATAAACAAGGGTTTTTTTGGGGCCAATACCCCCAAACAGATTAATTATTTAGGGTATTAGGTCAACATGAATTTTATTTTAGAAATTATGACATTCTCTACGGTGAACTTTGAACTCGTCACAATAAGGTGACGAGTTCCTGCATATATTATTTTTAAATTTTCACTGTGAAATGGGTCCTACGTGGGTCATTATTTTATTATCATCAAAATGACTCATCACCTCAATATGACGAGTCCATTTAAAAAATATTTTTTTAAATTACAAAAATAAAATAAAATAAAAAGTATAAGTTAAAAAATTAAGTGAAACTCGTTACTTCGACGTGACAAGTTCCTTCAAATTCAAAAAAGTAGTCATTGGTTAATTGGAACTTGTCACCTCGAGTCCGACCATATAAAATTTTGTTAAAAAATAAAATAAAAAGAAAAATGAATTTATTTATATTTTAAAAAATAAAAAGTAAGTAAATAATTGAAAGAAAGAAATATTTACAAAGAAAATTTATTTATATTTCCTAAGTTTTTGACGATGTCGTGGAGTGGTCGAATGATAATACCGCGGGGCTCGTCGAGTACGTCGGGGTCGTAGGCTTTGATCGTCGCCTCCGTCGTCGTCTTGCCGAGGTGTATTTAACACACTCTGTGATCCATCTTCGAAATACGGTGATTGATTTATGACATTTGAAGCCATCATTGTCATAATTGCTTCGTCTTGGCTTATACTTTGTTGATCATATAGGATATGGTTTCACTCACCCGCAACAACATATTTTGTCGAAGATGCTTAAGTGTATTGCGATGCATCCCATGAACCTCCAACCTAATTCGGCTGAGTCTCGGCTGAAGTATGAAATGGAGGATAGAAACTGAAACTAGCCTAAGATGCATAATAGTACTCTTCAGCTGCAGATGTTGAAGCAGAAGACGACGACGACGTTGTTTTCTTCTTGGACTTGGACTTAGCACATATGACCTGATGATGTTCCCATTCTCCCATCTTTTCCGGTGTCATGAGATATGACGTCCCATTTGCTTTGTAATTTTGGAGATAGAGAGAATAGTCGAAATCTAGGTCCAGCGGTGTAATGTCGAGACACAGGGGGAGCAATTGTTCACGTTGATTCCACGCGTCGATGTATATAGCGTGTTTCACTAGCCAATTTTCGCTATGTTTCCCACGCGTATCAATTCTATAGAGCATGTCCATATCAACCATCTGCGTAGGAATCGACTAATGCGATGCAAACTGTCGCATCCTATCAGCAACGTGCCCCTCAATAACCGCATAATGCAATAATAGCATTACGACACACCATAAGAGTGACCCCTCAAAAAACCTCCTTGGCACTAAATGATTGATCTCCTCGTCAACACGGAAGCCAAGAGAGTTGTAAATATTAAATATCAAAATTAATATATATAAAGTTAAAAGATTCAAAAAAATTTAAAAAAAATCATATGTCATACTGCATATCGACCGACGATGTCGATCTTCATCCGTATATCTTATGTAGTGGCACCCGTCAATTTTATCACGGATATTTTATGACACCATCTAAAATTTTTAAAAATACAAAAAATTATAAACAAATAAAAAAAACTAAAATTTTGAAATTCAAAAAATCATAAAAAATATTACCTGGCAGTTAGAGGAAACTCGATAGGGGATGTTGTAATTGGCATCATAAACGAGAATCGATACCATGTAGCAGTATTAGATAGCTCGCGACATTGGCTTTTCGAACCGACTGGACAATTGTAGCATTGCAAAGATCCCGATACAGAAAGGCCGAAATCGTCGAGTCCCAACTGGTATTACGGCACACAACGAAGTCTTCCAAATATCGCAGATACTGAGTGTGCTCCAAATTACCGGATTTATCCGGTAATAATACCCCACCGATCAGTTGGAGAAGATATGCTCGAGACGCGAAAATAACCACCTCATCAGTAGTCTCGTCTGTCACTTGGAATTTCGATTCCAACCATGTTATCCGTACCCGAAAGTCGTCGATGGCATCGAATGGTGGCCATATTCCCAAAACTTGGTAGACCAACGATGCGAGGTCGTACATGTTCTGACTCACCACGGGGGCTCTATTCACACGAACAACGAGTTGGTGAGCGATATTTTCCAAAGTAATTGTCGTTTCACAACTCGGGAAATGGAACGTGTGCTTCTCGGGCCGCCAATGTTCAATCAGAGCCTCAATCAACGCCGAGTACAACTTGAAGCCACGCATAAATATGGCAAAAAATAGACCGAATTGCTATAGATATATCACGGTCTGCTGATGTGGCTCTCTGTATGTCATCTCGTGCTTACGAATATTCCATTCACCACTCGGATTGTCATTTTTTAAGATTTTGACAGAAGATATGTTTTTTTTTTGTATTTTTTCAAATTTTGGGTTTGATGAGAAACCAAAACTCCAAACCCTTATTTATAGCCTTACATCCAACGACTATTAACGTCTAGTTGAGAAAAATACACGGTTGAACTCGTCACCTCGAGGTGACGAGTTCCAATTGACTTTGGCCATGATCGTTGCCCATATAGCCATTGACCAACACCTTTTTTTTTTAATTTGAAGGAACTCTTCACGTCGAAGTGATAATTTTCACTTAATTTTTTTTAAATTTATACTCTTTATTTAATTTAATTTTTGTAATTTTAAAAATAATTTTTAAACGAACTCATCACGTCGAGGTGACAAACGAGCAGAAATTTATTTTTTTAATTCAAAAGGACTTGTCACCTCCCCTATTTTTTTCTAAATTATATTTTTTGTAACAAAAAAATATTTCTTTAATGGACTCATCACCTCAACGTGACGAATCTCAATAAAATAAATAATTTAATGGTCCACGTAGAATTTACCCATCTAATCTCATTAAAACATTATATTCAATGGAATTTGTCATTTAGAGACGATAAGTTCGGGGTTCATTATAAAAAATGTCGTAATTTCCAACTTAATTTTCTTGATGGCCCACTACCCTAAATAATTGGCCCGCCTGGTTTATTGGGAAAAAAACCCCACAGGTGGAAGTGATTAACTGTAACGGAGTTAAAAGGGAAGGTTCAAGCAATTTTCTCAGATTGTCCCACGAGTATTTTATACGATAAAAAGCCTTTGAAACATGAAAAGGAAGAGAGGACGCCCACACAAGAAGAAACTAGGCGTTGCAAATTGGTCCCTACTAAAGTCCAACTATAAAAGATTAATCCTCTAAGAAGTAAATGACACTTTACACCCTAACAACTAATCGGATTGAAAATTATTGTTAATAAAAACACTATCATTAAAGATATTATTAAAACTATTAAAGAGCAACACAAATCGATAAACTATGACAATAAGAGTGCTTTTTCTAAATGCACATTTATCCAAAAAAGACTGCTTTTCTAAAATATTTGTCCCTTTTTTAAATAAACACAAGACTCATGTGGCTACATGGAGCGATGAAGAGGGTTTCGATGAAGACGAACAAGAAGTAGTAAACTTGTGTTTGATGGCATTCGAGAAGATTCTAAGGTAACCTCTAACTCATCTGAATTTGATGATTTATCTTATGATGAGCTATTAGAGGAATATAATGGGTTGGCTTCGGATTATGAGAAATTGTTTTTAAAATATAAAAATGATGTTTCAAAATTAAAAAATGAAAATAAACTCATATCCAAAACCAACAACGATCTTGAAAGTAAAATCAAAGATTTGCAAATCAAACTAGAAGAGTTTGAAAAGAAAATTTTGGATTTGCAAATTTTTTTGTCAAAGGTCAATGATGATCATCAAAAGAAAATTGATGATCTTAAAACCTCTTTTGATAAAGTTGGAACAAAACATTTTGAAAATGGAGAAAATTCAAAATCCAACTTTGTTAGAAAAAGTTTTAAAAACTACAATCATAGAGGTCCCCGAAGAACCTCTAATAGAAAAATCGTTAGAAGTATATGGGTTCCTAAAGAGCTCATTACTACTAAAGATAAGGATATCCTACACAAATGGATACCTAAGGGGACTAGGATTTTGGAAACTAATAAATATGGACCCAAAAGAATTTGGGTACCAAAAATTAGAAATTAATCTATGTTTGTAAGAAAAGGAGCATTGCTACAAGGCACGGGAAACAAATTCAAATTCAAATTCATGGTACCTTGATAGTGGATGCTTGAGACACATGACCGGAGACAAAACCCGGTTCATAGAGCTTAACGCCAAAAATGGAGGAGAAGTGATTTTTTGTGATAATTCAAAATGTTACATCGAAGGTATAGGTACAATAGGTACTACCTCTTCCATACAAATTAGAAATGTTTTATATGTGAATGGATTAAAGCATAATCATTTGAGCATTAGTCAATTTTGTGATAGGGATTCAATGTCATGTTGAACTAATGGTTGTAAAGTCATTGACATTGCATCTAATCGGATTATGCTTGTTGGTCATAGAATATGAAAAAATTTCCATGGTGCGATGTATCAACTAGTAGAGTATTGTAATTGATCTATTTAGATCTTTTTGGACCATCTAGAACTACTAGCTTGGGTGAAAAACAATATACATTTGTCTTGGTAGATGACTATTCTAGATATACTTGGGTTTTATTCTTAAGTACTAAAGATGAAGCATTAGAAAAATTATCATGTTTTCAAAAGTAATCCAAAACGAAAAAGGTTACTCTATAACTAGTGTTAGGAGTGATCATGGAACTGAATTTGAAAATCTTGGATTTACTGAATTTTGTAATTCTAATGGTATTAGTCATAATTTTTCAGCACCTAGAACCCCTCAATAAAATGGAGTTATTGAAAGAAAAAATCGAACTTTTAGAAGAAATGGCTAGAACCATGCTTTGTGAAAATAATTTGCCAAAATATTTTTGGGCAGAAGCCATAAATACTGTTTGTTATGTTATTAATCGAGTAATGATTAGGCCTATTTTGAAGAAAACTCCATATGAATTTTTAAAAAATAAAAAACCTATCATTAGTTATTTTCATCATTTTGGATGTAAATGTTTTGTTTTAAACAACGGTAAAGACAATCTTGGCAAATTTGATGCTAAAACTGATGAAGTAATTTTTCTGGGTTATTCCTTAAGTTTTAAAGCTTATCGAGTATTTAATAAAAGAACTTTAGTTGTAGAAGAGTCTATACATGTTGTTTTCGATGATAATCTCCTTCAGAGGAAGGATTCTTGTTTGAATGATGATGTAGGTATTATAAATACAAATGACGTTAGACATGACGTTAGAGAACCATCATCAAAGGAAGAAACGAAAGATGACGAAACTCATGATCCTTTCGAGAATCCAACCATTGAAGAAAGGGAAGTATCTTACGCAAGAGAGTATAACTATGTCAAGGATGGTGAAATCATAGGTGATCCATCCAAAGGGGTAACAACTCGATCTTCTCTTAGAAATATTTGTAATTATGTTGCATTTATCTCATGCATAGAGCCTAAGAATATTAAAGAAGCATTAAATGATGAACATTGGATTATGGCAATGCAAGAAGAGTTAAATCAATTTGAGAGAAGTAAAGTATGGACATTAGTTGAAAGACCTAGTAATAAATCTATTGTAGGTACTAGATGGGTATTTAGGAATAAGCTTGATGAGAGAGGTAATATAGTGAGAAACAAGGCTAGACTTGTTGCTCAAGGGTATACTCAAGAAGAGGGCATAGACTATGATGAAACATACGCTCCCGTAGCTAGGATGGAAGCAATTAGAATGTTATTAGCATTTGCATGTTTTCATGAATTTAAATTATATCAAATGGATGTTAAAAGTGCATTTTAAATGGTTTTATTAAAGAAAAAGTGTATGTGGAACAACCTCCAGGTTTTGAAGATTCAAAATTTCCGGATCATGTTCTTAAATTGAAAAAAGCACTTTATGGTTTAAAACAAGCTCCTAGAGCTTGGTATGAAAGATTGTCAAACTTTTTAATTGAAAAAAGTTTTTCAAAAGGGAAGGTTGGCACTACATTGTTTTTAAAGCATAAAGGTAAAGATTTATTAGTAGTTCAAATTTATGTTGATGATATATAATATTTGGTTCTACTAATGATGTTCTTTGCCAAGAATTTTCTAAGCTAATGCAAAGCGAATTCGAGATGCATGATGGGGGAGCTCTCATTTTTCTTGGGACTCCAAATCAAGCAAAGAAAAGATGGCATCTTCATCAATCAAGCTAAATACGTCAAAGATATGCTAAAAAAGTTTGGACTGGAAAATGAGAAACCTCATGACACTCCAATGAGCTCTTCTACAAAGTTTGACTTGGATGAAGGAGGTAAATGTGTGGATGTTAAATTATATAGGTCAATGATTGGTTTTTTGCTCTATCTAACTGCAAGTAGACCGGACATTATGTTTAGTGTTTGCTTATGTGCTAGATTTCAATCATGCCCTAAGGAATCACATTTACTAGCTGTTAAGAGAATCTTTAGATACCTTAAGGACACTCATAGTTTAGGACTTTGTTATCCTAGAGACTCTAGCTTTAGCTTGCATGCCTTTTCTGATGCGGATTATGGAGGATGCAAATTAGATAGGAAAAGTACCTCCGGTACTTGCCAATTCCTTGGAAATATGTTGATTTCTTGGTTTTAAAAGAAACAAAATTGTGTTGCATTATATACCACTGAAGTCGAATACATTTCAGCTGGTAGTTGTTGTGCACAAGTTTTATGGATGAAACACAACTTTTTGATTATGGAATTGAAGCAGGTACCATTCCTATCAAGTGTGACAATACTAGTGCTATTTGTCACACTAAAAATCTCATCCAACACTCTAGAACTAAGCACATTGAAATAAGACATCACTTCATTAGAGACCATGTCACTAAGGAAGATGTAGTTCTAGAATTTGTTGATACTTTACATCAATTAGCGGATATCTTTACAAAGCCTTTAGACAAGGAACATTTTTGGACACTTAGGAGAGAATTAGGTTTAACTAACCTATCTTCACGTAGTGCTTAAAATAATTTTAGCACTTTTAAGAATAAGTAAAAAATGCATATAATAGTAATTTTTGATTGCATGCATTCATTGCTTTTAGTTAGGGGGAGTTTATGATTATTGGTGAAAATTAACTTTATGTTCAAATAATTTTTAATGATAAATTTGATTGATTGAACATGATTAATTTTAATATATGAGTTACCAATACCACTAGAGAAAATTAATTTAGCATTTTGAGTGTTTAAAATCTTAT